AATACATTATCTGGAAAACATGCAAGTGGCACTGTACTTTGCCATGTCGCTTTGCTGCACAGGAAAACATAACTTCTACTGGTATAAATTTTATAGGGAGAAGAACATACATACTTTTCAATCTTTAAAGCTCTTTAAGCATTTCTTCCAGTTTAAAATGTGTTTGTGTGATGTACTCACGGGTTCTCAACAAACTTGGTTCTCTTCTGTGGGAAAAGTAGAGGCACTCTTGTTCTATTTCTAAACATGTCATCTGCCCTATATTTTCCTTTTTTCTCCCAGAAGATATTTAGAGGGACAAAATCTTTTACCAAAAGAATGTGTTTATTTTTAGATCATTTTCCAAACATACATGGTGCTAGAGATCAACTGCTGTTTATTGATTTGTTGTGTCAATAATTCCATTAACTGTACTTCATATAATTCCGAATATGCACTAGTGCCCAAACATATGGTGTGGCACCAGCAGCAGAGGACAAGAAGGAACGAGCATGAAGAAACTGAAGTTCAGGCAGCGCCTCCCTCCTGTGCTATTAAGTTACTTAGTTCCAGCACACCATGTTGAAGGAAACTACATAGTGTTTAACAGTTCTGACAAAATCTAAGACTCACTCCTTTAAAGAATCAGTTCAGCGTAAACTTAAGGGAAGAAAATGATAAGTAAGTGGAATCCACCACAAGCTGCATTCTGTTGATTATAGAGGGTTTTTTTACTATGAGTAAGGTACTTTTTCCAGTTAATTAGGACAAACACACTAGGCTTTCATGTATGGTAAGCGTCAGTTTGGATCAGATTTGTCATTGCTTCTGACAGTTACTCCCTTTGTATGCTGGCCAAGAGGCTGAGCTGCTTTAATGGAGGATTGGCTCTTCTGTTTTCCCTGTATCCTAGGTAAATACTCACTGCATTCGTGTCCTCTTCTCAAGTTCAACCCTCTGCCTAAGCAGGCACCAAGTCACTGATAAATTGTTATGAAACCTTGACTGCGTAGTCATTTATCAAACTGTTTTCACCAGCCATAAAATTTACATACCTGATGGTCTCTCACAGCTTTCTATTATGTAATTAAGATTTAGAATGCCTGGTAAACTCTTCCTCTTGGTGCTAGACGCTGATTTTTTTTAATTATTTTTTCCCAGTCATCAGTGGGACTTCTTTTAAAATGAACCTGATTCATGGAATTTATTCCACTTTACAACTAAAGCCCGAGTATTATGATATTCATGGCACAGGTAAAACATGACATTGGGTAGTGTACTTGATTTTGTTAGTTTCTTCATTTAGTAGAAATGTTATTAAAAATATATCAACATTGAAAAGTAATGATTTCTTTAGTATATGAACTGGAAATACTTATAACAGTTCTCAGGATTAAACTGGCAGTCATGGATTTATATTGACTTATGGACTGAATTTAACCATATGGAATCAAATGCAAGAGATACTTGGGCTTTTTTTTGTTTTGTTATCCATGCAAAAAATTAATATATTTAGTTAATAAAAATATATATAGTATATAATAAACCTTATAAATCACAAACTGTTGTAAATGATTCGGGCTAAGTAAAAAAAGAGTTAAAGTTAATTAAATTTTATCATATGTATCCAAGACCAATCTTTTAACTGACATGTATGTACTATTTTCAAATAGCATTTTTTTGTCTCTGTCACTGGATTAAATGTTACAGAGTTGTAGTTGAAAACAGTATGAGAAAAGGTACATTAAGAAAAGGAACCTTCTAAAAGAAGTCTCAAAGGCCAGTTATATCCACCTAGGAGAATTCATTATATGCATTATATGGAGGGGAGAGTTCTTCCCAGTTGGTTGGGTAACCTAGTTTGGGTTCATTCATACTGTGTTGCTGCTACCAGTATGCCTCATCCTACCCAAGCTGTTCTGTGGCATCCTTCTCTCCTTAACTGTCCCTAGTACTTCCCAGGTGTGAGCAGGATGCTGTTCCATGTGCTTGCACGGTGGACTTTTATGTGCTCACTAAATCAGCACTGCTGTGAAGTGTAGACTTAACGACACACACACCACCTGGTGAGATTTTTCTTTTACCATAGTTCTGTTCACAAACTGTGTAAGGTGGGTAAAGGGGTTGTAAGGCACCATTCTCCTGTGCCAGTAGAAGGTGAGGGGCCCACCATTGCCAAGAAATTCTATTCAAATTTTATTTTATTTAGGCAATTTTATTCAAAAAGTGGTCTTGTGAGGGAAAAGGAAATACCAAGGGAGACTATTTGGGACTTGTGTGTCTTCCAGTGACTCATTATTTCCAATTTGTTTATACGTACTATTTTTGTAGGCTGCTCAACTATCATTCCATGGCCTGGTGTTTCAAACCTCTGTTGTGGACTGCAGGAAAATAGTTGGTGTGTGTTACATCAGGAGAAGAGTCGAGGCCCTGTAGCTAGGGGAGGAGGTTACAATCAACAGGTCCCTTTTTCACTTGGGGCAGAATGGGGCATGTTCTATCTCCTACAAATATCTTGTGCAGACTCAGTCTATGAACCATTGTTGTGGAGGATAAAGGTGAGAAGGCAGGAACTCCTGGAAGGCGAAGTATGTACTGTAATGTGTAATAGAAGAATAGTTTTTTGTGTAATTAGGAAACCAGAAGAGGAAAATGCCATTGATCACCATTGCTGGACAGCCATCTCTTATATCCATAGGTAACCTTTCAAAAAGATTTGAGCATAATTTCCCTTTTCTCATCTTTTTTAATGCAAGATCTTGCTTTTTTTTTAAATTTATATTTTTCCTTTCTTCAAATTGGGCCTTGATTGCAGACTTCCTCCTATTCATCATGACAGTTTATCAGGTCTTGAGTTATGCACCTGCAACCTTTTCCACTCCATTCCCGAGGGAAATCACTTTTACTATTTATTTATTTATTATTTATATATTTGTATTAGTTATTTATATATTAGGAAAGCATGTAGTAAGAACCTAACCCAAGCATGGTTTACATAAGTGGTAGTCAGTTTGCTCCCACCTGAAGCCTTGACAAGTAGTCTGGTGCTTGTACGTTCCTGGATACTGAGTTACCTTCCCTGTATCAGCACTCTTTATGACCTGAATTGCTGATATATTGCAGGGCATCTCAAAAAAAAGAAAGACAAAACTATTAAATGTCATTTCCCCAACGGGTAAGTATGTGGGCAGCAGGCAGTTTGCATTGGTTCAGCATATGGGGTGTGTGGTTATTCACTGATCTCCTACAAATCACACTTTTCTTTCAAGAAACCATCCTGTTAAGAAGTGAATTTACCAGTGACCTCATAAGATTGGTATAGTGTTTATAATGTGGATGCAACATTATGTTTGAACATTTTGTAGATCCTTTAATTACGTTGCATCTCTATTGTATACATTTTTCATACCCCCCATCAATAATATTTCCCATTTTTTGTAGGGTAAAGTCATAAATAACTATGACTTTCTAGTGAAAAGCTTTGTAATTTTAGGCATTGTATTTTTCCATTCAAAATAATATTCTTGTTTGGGCTTTTCCCATTTAAGGAAGGCACTAATAAACTGTCCATTAATAAAGGAAGCCATAATAAACTGCTACGATAATCATATTTTTAAGTGCTTGCACTTCACCCTCTCACTGTTTCCCTTCCTTTCCCATCCCTTCCCATTCACCTCTCAGAAATATGTTTGTTTCATTCGGAGTGTCTGCTTTGTTCCTCGGGATACATATGATATTACTTGAAATCAAGGACTAGGAACAGAAACACAATGCTGTTAAAACTAACAGTGAAGAAAGGTTGCAAGGGCCAAATAGGAATCCAAGACCAGCTGACTTAGCTCCTTGTCTCTCCTCCCCTCCCTTCCTTCTCATCTGCCTTGCCTTGAATTTTTTGGATTTGGGGGAGCTTCTTTTCTGTAGCTGCTTCTATACCTTTGTGTGCCTTACATTTCCTCTTTCTCACCACCTTTCTTTTGTAAAACAACTTGCTTGTGTATGCTTTCCCTTAACAGTTAGAGTCTCTGTGTTGGTGATGCTCTCATTTCAACTTTACGTCTCATGTGCATGTTTTTTTCTGCGTGTTGCCATTTTTCCCCTAAACAACACGATTAAAGGAGGTAAAATTTCAGTTTACCATAGTTTGTAACTCACTAGTTACTAAAAGTGACCTCATAGAAAAAAGGACACTTCTCTCTACCCTGCTTTCATTTCTATGCTTGGTTTCAAAGAGCTGCTCTAAACAATGGTGATGTTGGAGCTCCTTCACAGCAAAGGTTAAAGGTTTCTTGTAAAATAGAGTATGCAGAAGCTGCTACTACTGCTTCTGTGAAGTTACAGTGAAGAGTTATGACTCCTGTCTGGTTTTTTTATATTTTTGGGCAATGTTAGTTCCAAATAAACTAGAAGGCAGAAGAAACAGAGAAAGCTTAGTTTGTACAGACACTGTGCTTCTTTGGAGGACTTGCAGGAGAATTTACTGCTCTCACACTATTGAGTCATCCCTGGGAAAATGAAAACATAACTTTGAGCACATTGAACAGCTCATCCCAACTTCATCATAATCCTGTGCAACTGTTTGTGTATGCATTTGAAATTCAGAACTCTAAACTCTTACTCCTAACAAGAATAAAGGAATGCAGCAAATAATTTTATAATTTCACAAGTCAAATCTAAATAAATAAATTTTCTGTCACTCCTCTAATTTTGTTCTGAGCAAATCTTGTTTGAAATAATGGAGATCATATTTTTCTGAAATACTGGTACTGAATGTTAATAATAAATTGTTTTGTTTGCAATTTTTTTGTAAATTGTGTTTTCCAATTCTTCTGTGTAAAAGATCTTTGGAGGAAGCTTAGCTAAGCACCAGTTATGCTTTGACACTGTAGTGTTCAGTCACCGCTACAAAACTTGAGCCTGTGTGTCTTCAGTTTTCAAAGTTTAATTTCTTTTCTGTTTGCGAAGTCCTGCACAACAAATGAAACCATTTCAAGTTTTAACTCGTGTTTCATGTTTTGTTCTAGGTTGTTGGAAGAGGAGCCTTTGGTGTGGTCTGCAAGGCAAAATGGCGAGCTAAAGATGTAGCCATTAAACAAATAGAAAGTGAATCTGAAAGAAAAGCCTTCATTGTAGAGGTACAGTAAGTTTGATGGGAAATACCAGGTTTGGTAGAGCTTGTTTTCTTAAATTCATGGGTGCATTTTAGTGTACTAAAAGCTATTTAAAGTACTAAAGTCTATTAAAAGATAAATATACCTAGTAATAATAATAATAATCACCGCCGAGACCCGGGTTCGATTCCCGGTCAGGGCCACTCCCGGGCAGGTGGGGCTCGTTAGCCCTTAAAGGCAACCCACCTACGTCCTAAGGACCTCGCTGCCACCGTCCAAGCTCGCTTGGCCCCTGCAGATGAACCTTAGGATTAAAGGGTGGGCTCAGTTCCGCGCACACTGTGTCTCACCTAAAAAGTCCAATGCGCAGGCTGGAAGGTGTAAAGACCTTCCCCGGATCTTCGCTCGCGAAGACCGGCCATTATTATTATTATTATTATTATTTATTATTATTATACCTAGTGGTACCCAGTTCAGGCCTGGACCCCTTGTCTTGCAGATCAAGAGATCTGTCAAAGAACATTGCAGCTTCCCATAAAAAGCGGGAGGGCAAGGAGGAGAGAGAGAAGGGCACACAATTGGGGAAATGCCAGTTCCTAGGTTCTGTCCCAGTCTGGAATCAGGGTGCAGCTGAAATACCCACCAAAGTCTTGGAGATGATTAACACTTCCAGGGGCTACAGCATAGGTTCTTCAGTACAGTCAGGTCCATACTTGAAACTGTTTCTGAGTTTTATCAGTTCTAATGATTTTATTATTTTTTCTTACATATATTGCTACCTGTAACTCATTTAAAGGCAGTCACTGTTTTCATTCCATGTCTACTTCTTCAGAAAAACATTGAGTAGTTCAGATACAATGGTAAACTTCGCAAGATACATAACATGTATTAGAATCAAAAGTTTACTGTGTAAATGGGATATATTGTGACATGTTGCTTAGTATTTATTCAGTTATCATTTAGTATATTCGAGATACGCAAAATATGTTAAAAATAAATCTCTTCAATTTGGATCTAAATGTACTCAAATGTAACACATTGAAGGGTTGAAAGAAGCATGTTTGTTATAGGCCTCTGTGTAAATATTTATATTTTGTTTATTACCATGGAAAGTTTTTAATGTTAATAATCTGAGTCTAATTTAATACTCAGTAGATCTGATTTGTCTCTTAACATGTTTTGTGTTCTAAAGAGATTTGAGTAGATAATCCTAAAAACACTTAAATAATTGGTATTCTGGAAAACCTACACAGTGTAATACTCTGTTCTGATTTTTTAGGTCTTCTGAAGTGTACAGAAAAAGTAGCATTTGTTCTATAGACAGTGGACAGCATAAACTACTTCAGAAGTCTGTGTAAAGGGAAAAAAAATTTATTTTTTCCTTCCCTTCTGTTACATCCTGGTAAAAAAAAATACTTAGTGCAAAATAGAGTTATTGTCGGTACAAGCAGAGTAGTAGGTTCTTCGAACTATGTCACTTTAAAATTAAACTGTTTGGCTTAATTTCTAGTGTTGTGGGCTTGGGGTTTTTTAGAACAGTAATATTCTGTATTGTGAATAAAGCCAATATGATTCTGATTTTTTTATGTAGCCAGACAACAGGGATTCCAAAATTGCAGGCTCCAGGAAGAGCATCAGACCTACAGAGGTCTTCATTGCAGAGTGCTTGTGACTTGAGTGATTTTACTACAACCTGTCAAAATATTTTCTTTACATTTAACTTCTTAAAAATTTCTTTTAAAATACAGTTCCAGTTAGACTCAAACCTAATTACATAAATTAAAATGCAAAGAGGGACACAGGTCTTGTAATTCCTAAAATCACTATCTAGGGTTATGCAGACATATAAAACTGTACTTGCTGTTGTGGTGTATTAATCGTAGCTGTGAAAATAAAGCATTAACCTTTTCTCCCCATGGTTTGAAATTGTGTAATTTGTATTGCAGCTTCGACAGCTGTCACGAGTGAACCATCCCAACATTGTCAAGTTATATGGAGCCTGTCTAAACCCAGTAAGTTATAGCTTTGTCAGTGTAACAGCAAGTGACTAACTTAGCATGTGCAAGCATCAGTGCACAAAACATGCATTTCGCACTAAAAATGTATATTTTATATGTATTTTTTATGTTTTGGCTATAATAAGGAAATGTACAGATATGTAGGGTGCTTGATATTTTCAGGTTTTAGGGTTTTTTCTTTCCACTGTTATGAAAAATAAATTCTTTCAAGGAGACCCCAAAACCATTTCTAAGCACAGATTATACTTCAGTTTGTTAGAATGGCATCTGATGTATTACATATGTAGTTATGTTCATATTTACAGTCTTATTAATTGCAAATTAGCAATACAAAAAGCAAATGCATTAGCAGCACATGATTATAGCTTGTAAATCAGTTCCTATTCTCATGTATGCAGTTTTCAGGATTTGCTGCAGCTACAAACAGTCCCACAAATTCTCAAAGCAGAAAAGCAAGTACTGTGACTGGACTGGTACATCCTTAACTAATTCTCATATGGGCTATTTAATTGTTTAAAATAATGCTGCTGCATCCCTTTTTTTTTCTTGGTACTAGTGAAATTATTTTGACATGGTGTTTAATTTTTTTTGTAAACTACTAAAGGAAAAAAGTAAGAACAAGTGAATTGCAGTTTGAAGACAGCATTTGCTTTTTAAGACTGAGGCAGGGAGGTCATTCTCCTCTCTCCTAACTTACAGTGGGAACTAAGTATAAAACTGATTTCTGTTTCTTTCATATAAATACGTACGCTTCAAACTGACGTTTTACTTCATAGATACGTTTTCCATTAGCTTAGGTATGGAGGCTTTGCAGTTGCTCTCAAAGAACTTTCAGTTTATAGAAGCTGTTTTCTGCCTCTACATTTAAGACATCTCTGTTCTTTGTTCCCTCCCCTGCAAAGGTGTGTCTTGTTATGGAATATGCTGAAGGAGGTTCTCTATACAATGGTGAGTATCACTTCAACATAGTGTCTTCATGGACCTAAAGCACTAGTATTAGGGCAAACGTGATCTAAACTGTAAAACTGTTTCATACATATGTCTCCATCCTTGGAGATACTCAAATTCACCTCGCCAAAGTCCTGGCAACCAGCTGGAGGTGGCCTACTTGACCCTGCTTGGTGGACCTCTGGAGGTCCCTTCCAACCATTCTGTGGTTCTTTGAAATGTTTTAAATAGTTTTAAGGAGAAAGGAGTGTGCTTTTTAAAGCCGCTTTTCAATCCACTGGTTTGTTCTTGGTATTGGTTTCTTGTATTTTATACAACTAATTTAAAGTTTTCCAGTGGAACATCTGAAAAGGTTTTTGCTTAATTTGTAAATTCCCTGACCAATTGTTTAACATAGACTTTACCAGGGATAGCTAAGAGCAAGGAACACCTTTCATATTGAATTTTAACATTAAAACTTATGGAAAGCATACTAAAAAACAGAAAATACTTTGTCATTTGTTTTAAAAGTCTCCAGAAGGATATTTTCAGTTGCAGTAATGAGGTGTTGATAATTACTTAGATTCCATAGAGCTTTCTAACTGGTATTTTGTTAATTCCATCATATGTGTTGTAATATGCAATAAAGTTCTTTTTAGTTTGTGCCTTTGTTTTGCAGTGCTACATGGTGCTGAACCTCTGCCTCATTATACTGCTGCACATGCCATGAGTTGGTGTTTACAGTGTTCCCAAGGAGTGGCATATCTCCACAGCATGAAACCAAAGGCTCTAATTCACAGAGACCTGAAACCACCAAAGTAGGTTTATGGTTCATATTTTATATTTTCTTACAATTGGAAGTTAAGGTAATTTTTAAATATTTATTGCATTTGGAAAGAACCTTTAATTGATGCTAACTTTTGGGTGTACTGTATTCCAAATGAAAGCTATGCATTTGAAACTTCAGTTACAGAATGATGGTGTATGATACAGAAAATGGACTGTATTCACTTACTTTCTGTCAAACTGGAAAAATATCCTGTTCCTGCCCTGTATCATGTAAGAGGATTTTGTTAGAAGTAAGGCTTCTAATCAGAGGCATTTAAAATCCTCCAGTTTTGAAATGGTTTTGTTGTTTAGTAAGAGAACATTGTGGCAAGGGTGTTTGGTTGATTGGTTCTAACATCATATTTAATCTATTATATTAGAGTTCTTTTGCCACATGGCCATCCTCTTTTGTCCACCCCTTCTGCCAGTTCTCCCACCCCTACCAGAAGCCCCCATCACTTTCCACTGAAACAAAATTTAGTAGTTTTCTATCCAGTCAGTTTGTTCAATCTGACTCATTTTACAGCTTCAGATCTGGCTGCACAGATTAGGTAGAAACAAATATTTGAGTATGAGCAGAATCATCTCTTTTTTATGGTAGCCTGCACTTATTACCAGATAAAATCCTAACATGAAGCCAAACTTTAAATCTTTAGTTCTTTCTTGTATCCCCAGTTTTTGTCTAGAGAGCTGTCAACATGGGACTTCAGTGCTTTCATATAAATAAATGTCTATATTGACAGACATTAGCAGGCATCTTGACCATTCTTCTTTTGCTGAAATTCTTACAACACTGTTTTTTCAGCCTCTGTAATCAGAAGGGTTAATTCTGTCAGTATATGCTTAGTGATTTACTATGGCTAAAGATACTTAAGTAAAACCTGACATGTAGGAATATTAGTAAATTACAGTATATATTGGAGTATTTTAAAATATTTAATATGTTCACATTAGAAACAAGTGACCTTACTTATTTCCCAAATTATAAAACTAAAGCACTGAGAATCAAAACCTTAAGACATTCAACTGTATTAGAATTATAGTTGTTGGGATTAAAAAAAAAAAATCAGTGGTTTATTACCAGACTATTTCATCCCACAATTTAAATATTTTTTTTTTCTTTGACAGTTTGCTCTTGGTAGCTGGGGGGACAGTTCTAAAAATCTGTGACTTTGGTACAGCCTGTGATATTCAAACACACATGACCAACAATAAAGGAAGTGCTGCTTGGATGGCACCTGAAGTTTTTGAAGGTAACAAAGATTCACAGTGTCACTATTATATGTTGTTTTCAGGGATGCAATTGTGAATTAGTGTGCTGTAGGAAATAAGAGTATCATGTAATCTTCATTTCAATGTGTATTAAAGTTTAAGGTAACAACTGAAAGAGTCTTGGCAGAACTCTAACATTTATTTAAAAATCTGTACAATTGTATATTGTCAAATAATTATGCAGAGGTTTAAAGAACAGCACTGAACCGACTCTCTCATATTAGTGTTAGATATTGAATTAGATTAAGATGTGGAACCTTTATTTGTGTCATGGCTAAGATTTACATAAGGAGTACCTCTAGACAGCTGCTGTTTCTTTTTTTGTAAGTTAGTCAAATACAGCCAGAGGGCTCTTTCCCCACAATTTTCGTGTTTCCAAGATTCTTAAATTATTTCAAACTTTTCTGGCATTTAAATACACTGTCATTACTTTCTCTCTCTATTCTGATCAGCTTTTAACTTTAGACTTTCCCTGTTAGCATCTCTAAATTAAACATAATTGCCTTCATCTTCAATCCCCCACTTTCTTGTAACCATCTTCATCTGCTTTTTGTGTAATCTAGAGATTTGTTGTACTTCCTCTTTCCTACATACTGAGGAACTTGTTATTACCAGTTAATTTAGTTAAGTAGGAAAATAAGCTATTTCTTGGAGCGTAACTGGGAAAGACTGATGACGCTTGATAATTAGATAGGTATAATTGCTGCATGATTATCATAGAAATAATCCAGTCTATATTAAATTGCAAATTAAACACCTTATAGCCAGTCAGTACCTTAAATTATCAATATGATTTAGCAGTGGTCTGGAAAAAGTCATCTCTCTGCTTTAGGAAGTGCCTGTGTGCAGCAGTGGCTTCCCCAGTTCTGGATCCAAGTGGCCTCTTTTCTTTTACTTATTTACTTTACTTGTCCTTATTCCAGAGACTGTTCCCATACAGTTTTAGGAGGTGTTTCGTCACAAACATCACATTTGGAGCTTTTGTTCTGAAGGTTCCATTTTCTTCCACATATTGCCTAGAGTACCAACCCAAGGGTTATGTTTCACTCTGGTGCCTGAAAATTTTCCATTATGTCGCTTTATATTGAGCCACCTACTGTATTTCAGTTACTCTAGCTAGGAGTGCTTCTTTTCTTACCATTTGTTTATTATTAAATTAAATTGTACAGATGGGAGTTTTTTTCTTTTAGAAATAATCAATTGGACAATTAATGTTGCAGTTTTTTTTTTGAGTGAAAAATCTTAATCTGAAATGGATATAAATAAGTATATTATGGTAGGGATTTGCAGTGCATATCGTAGTTCCTCTGATGTATGAATTCAGCAAGGCAGAACAAAGAAATCTTGTATTACACTTGTATTTTTGGACAGCAACAAAAGCTTTCAGTTTACAGGGTTTTTTGTGTACTTTTACCTGAAAGCATTTACTGATAAAGAGACAAATCAATAAAAGGACAAGTATCAAGGAAAGGAAGAAATCTTGTAGCTTCTATGATGCAGCATATTAAAATACTCTTGAAACAGTTATTCAGCTACTAAAATAACTGTGTCAAATGTCAAAATTGTTAAAAATGTGTTTGCCTATGCTACTGAATCAGAATGCAACAATGTAAAAAAGGCTAGTATTATTTTGGTGCTGTTCTAGTACTAATGTTTTTAGATGAGTACAATAAAGGCATGAGAAGTATCTGTTTTAGAAGACAACCATCTATTGAAGCGGTTGCTCTAATATTAAGATTTCCTTCCCATTTTAAACATTAGGACCCCTAAAACCTTGTACAGATAAAATAAGCTACATGAAAATAACATGACTTAGATCAGGATAAAGGTAGAGTAATTCTAATATCAGAAACCATTTTAAAATTGCTTTGGGATAATTGAGGAATGATTGGGTCTATCCAATCTTGGTCTGTTACATAATAAAACAATACAGAATATTCTGTAACTTCTTCTGGGCTCTGTTTTCAGAATTAGTCCAAGGCTTCTTGACCACGGAATAGAATTTCCTTGCACCAACAGGAAGGCGCTGCTTTCCTTTCGTGGTCTTAGTGTCACAGAAGTGCTGTGACTGTTGTGACTGCATAGATGAGACTGTTTTGCTTCCCTTAGTGATCTACCATTGTTTACATAGATTTTTTTTCTCCAGAACTTTTGAAAATAAGTTGACTGATAAAGTGGATTTTATTATTTTTCAGTACCTTTTGAACTCATTAGCACATTCAGCTACTTTGATATAGGTGTAAAGAGTTTCGGAGATGCCGAGTTCTTAGAGAGTTTTGTAAAATGAGTAACTGCGAGAAGTCCAAATTAGTGCCTTCACTAAGAGAGGGCTTGAGGTTCATGCTGCTGTCTCTTGTGTTTGCCTTGCAAACTGGTTGGACTGCAAGAACTGGCTAGAGAAAAAACTGCCTTGCACAGTTTGTCAGAGGGATGGGGGCAGAGAAAGATGGCTCACAAATAGGGTAGAGCCTGTTGCAGCTGGTTGCTATGTGGTGAGTATTCATGAAACTAGACTTCTTTAATCCCACTGTTCATAAAATTATTTGTCTGAATGATGCTTTCTGATTATGTGTTAACCAAAAAAAAATCTCTTGACCACTGTATGCCAATTTTAATCCTTGTTTGAACACAGGGGAGCAAATCTATCATTTATAATCACACATTTATTCTGATGTCATTAGCCATTCACATTTCTTATTAGTATTTGCATGAATAGTGGTTACTGAGCATACATTCTTTTGCATCTCCAAACACATTTATTATTCTGTATCACCTACCTGTCTTCTGCACCTTAGGAGTCTCAGAAATATTCAAGTTATGGTCAAAGAGTTTTAATTAAGTAATGACATTACAGAAAGAGTAAGAATAATAAACAGGGAGGAAATAAGATGGTGAGGAATTGAGGACTCTGCTGATTAGTTCTGCTGAAGACCTGTAATTAATAAAGAACAGTGGATATGACAGATGTTACTGCCTGGCATATTGTGACTAATGTTGGAAGAAGTGAATTGAAGAATATTTAGAGGGAGCAAACATAGTCAGTTAAACTGTGAATGCAGAGATCTTTAAACTTAATAAATTGTCATTTAGATTATATAAGAAAACTGATGCATTTTGGCATTTCAAAATGACTCCAAGTGAAAAGGATTGATTCCCAGAGAGAGGCATTCTTAACAACCAGACTGTCAAATGATTGCAGACTTAAGTTAGCATGAATCAACAAGTGTTAGAAAACTGGGGTTTTTCTCAACAAAATAAATATGAAGTGAAAGGAAGCATATAAAGCTATTTCTTTATTGGAACACGCTGCCCAGGGAAGTGTTGGAGTCACCAACTCTGAAAGTGTTCCAGAAACAACTCATTATGGAACTCAGTGATGTGGTGTTCAGCAAAAGTTTAGACTTAATGATCTTGGAGGTCTTCTCCAACCTTAATGATTCTATGATCAGCTCAAACTGTACATCTTTTTAATGTGTTACATAGAAAAGAGACAAATTATATTGATGGCTTTCTTCCAGGTAGCAATTACAGTGAAAAATGTGACGTTTTCAGTTGGGGTATTATTCTCTGGGAGGTAATCACCCGTAGGAAACCTTTTGATGAGATTGGTGGTCCAGCTTTCCGAATAATGTGGGCAGTTCACAATGGTGAGTTGCAAATATTTTATTGCATTTGAAGTTGTGTATTTGACCTATAAATTTGCTAAACAGTCTTAACCACGCAGCTTTAAATTACTAGTGTTTCCATTTTATGCTTCATTAAATATACACTTTTGTCACAAAGACTACATAGTTAAGCACTTCCACTTTTGTGTCAGTGTGGGTTTTGTGTTATTTGGCTGCTATGTGTAACTGGTGTATGAACAAAGAAGGGTAAAGAGCCATGTCTTCTTTGTTATGACACTCGATTTTAAAAGCGATCTGAGAGGTACGATAGAAAAACCCACAACCCCTCTATCTGGATGGATGGTGATTTTTATTAGCCAAGTTGTCTCTTCTATTTTTTTTACTCTTTGTAATTAAATGTCTACAATAAATGTGTAACTTGACCTGTATTTAGAAATGCTAGAAACTGTCAAACTCCTGCAGGACCATTAGGCATTAAAAATGTCATTTGGTTTTTCATCTGTGGTGTTTTGGGTTTTGGTTTTTTTGTTCTGCTGTTTGAATGGCTTTACCTTTTTACCCTCACTCGTGGGGCAGCACTCTGCTGTGCTAGGTATTATACAGAACAGATTTTCATGAGCTTAGACTATAAACAGGACACAATGGTTGTATTCAAATGGATCTTTTTCTTTAAAGCAGTGGTATAATGTTCGTCAGGGTAGTAGATTGTAGTATCTTCTTTCTAGTGGTGTAACTTTTTTACTGCTGTGTTTTTAAGTACCATGGCCAGAGTTTTACAAACAATTAAGTAATGATAATGAAGTAGTTCAGTGGCTACAAAGAGTTTCTGCCATTTGTGAGAGACATCAAAGCAAGCACAAACTTGTTTGTAAGGAAAAAATAACAAACAATGAAGGCTGATTTTTCGATTACACAGGTCATTAAGGTTAGGAGTGATGAGTGCCTTGCATAAAAGCATAAACTGTGAAACCAAGTGTAAATCTAATAGTCATAAATCAGGATGCCTCAATAAGGTGGGGGAGTATCCTTGAGGGAAAGAAAAATTCCCCATCTTTAGCTACTTTTGCTTCAAACACTTATCCTTTTTATCTTCTTCCATTTTCTTTTTCCTTCTTAAGAGGAAACGTTAGTACACTTCATCTCACTTAAAACTATTGTGGCACTCTTTCTTCATGTATTACTCATTCTGTTTAATATATTTTTAAATACTTGCTGGTTTCTTTGCAAACCGTCACTGTTCCTCATATATCAGACACAAATGGTTGTCCATTAATTGTACTCTTCGTTGAAATTGTAAAAAGAGGAGAAACTTGAACTAAAAACAAGTGAATGGTTATACAATAGTTGAAGTAAAATATGTTATTACAAATGTGTATAGGCATGAGAAAGTCACACAAAATTGGTACTTCCAGTGCCTGTAATTTTTAAGGGAGTTCTTAAGGGCAAAATCAGCTCTCAAAAATACATCTGGTGTTTTGGGGTTTTTTCATGTTTTTTTTTCTTGTGAATACAGCATTAGGAAATGTTACTACTTGCTTCCTAGTTTGTTCTAGAGCTTCATTCTTCAGAGACAAGTAGCATTAGCCATTGTAATGTGCTGTATTTATTCAGGCCTCTACTGAAGAAGTTTAATTTTTTTTCTACTTCTTTGTATGTAATTGTAGCCTCTATGTAGTGCAAAGGCATTTTTTTAAATCAGTTTTTATTTATAAGAGAGAAAATTAAGCACAAGCCAGTTCTTTCAGCCTACAATTAACTCTACCTTTCTGTGTATTTGTTTAGCAAAATACTGGAGAGAGATTGGTCACTGTCAGTTGTTTATTATAATAGTCTGTTTAAAAAATTAGGGATTTCTCCTAAAATATTAAGGTTGTTTTCTAATTTCAATTACAGGTACTCGGCCACCGCTGATCAAAAACTTACCTAAACCAATTGAGAGTTTAATGACCCGTTGTTGGTCCAAGGATCCCTCGCAACGACCATCCATGGAGGAAATTGTTAAAATAATGACACACTTGATGCGGGTATAAAAATTTATTTTAGTATCTTAATCATTTCTTAAGCTATTAAGATAGGAAATTGAATTACAAAAGGTATGCCTTTCATCACACTCCAAAGGTGGACTTGCATGTTTTCTTTCTGCTCTTTCTTTTTGATAAAAATTATCAATTACAGTAGAGAAGGGAAATAATTCATCTCCTTATGGGAGGGGTATACCAACTCATAAGAGATTTGAGAAAATTAAAAAAATACTCATGGGTGTATTTTAATGTATGACTAAAAATATTTGCACTTACGTGTCTTCAAAATAAATTATTACAAATATATAAATTGTATTTCTAAATTATGAGATACTATTAAAATAATTTTAAAACAATTGTTAATTAGGGGTTTTTATCAAATCATTGCTCTTTCTTCACAGTACTTTCCAGGAGCTGACGAACCTCTGCAGTATCCTTGCCAGTATTCAGATGAAGGCCAAAGCAACTCTGCCACTAGTACAGGTACATTTGTATATAAGTTAGAGAAAAAGAACAGCAACATAAGCATTGAGAGGGATCAATTTTTTTTGTTAATACTTCTTACCGCATCATATTCAGTGTTCTCAGTCAAATGGTTTTGATGAAGTGTACATGTAATGGAGAACAAGTTTATTGTAAAAACTGTCTCCAAGTGTCCATGTTTAAGGTCTCTTTTTTCCCATGAATGTTGCTAGCAATTAACACCTTTTCACTAATATGTAATATGTAGGAGTTGTCAATTTAAAATTTTTCACTACTCTTTAAAGCTGCATCTCTTTCAATTATAATCTCCACAATTTAAACTTGCATTTTTTTTACGTTAAGAGACATTAAATACAGTAATTTAAATTTAAGTTCAAGAAAATAACCAGAAAGGTGGATGAAACAAAACATTGGCTAGACTTTCACGTAGTCTTGATTTAAGGTAAATCCTTTTAACAATAGAAAATTAAGATCATTTGGTCTCCTCATTTTTTAGAGTACAGTTTTTCCACTTAAGTAATTTTTATTCTTAGGGGTCTTCAAATTTCTCTGCTTGGTTTGTTTATTTTCTGTCTCCAAAGAAATTGCTGGTATTTTGGATAAAGTTTCATTGGCTTCTTTACAATTTAGTGACCTATATATTAACAACATCTTTGCAGCTGTAGCATTTCACTGACTTTACTAGTTGTTCTCCGCCTCTCAGCACATGATTTTAAGACATAATTTATCACTTCAAACTGAATATATATTGACAGTTATTTATCACGTATTTATGCTCTTTTGTGGTTAACGATGGTCTGTGTCATTAATTGCGAATGAGATTGCTGGTTGTGTTTTTAATATAACACTACCCTAACAATTTCAAAGAAAGCTAAAAATTGACTTCTGAATGTTATCGCAGTAGGTACTTGTGTATTCTTTTTCACTCCTCTTCTTACAGTAATGGATCTGTTGCAGTCTTGCAACTTGCCTTTCATTAAAAGTTTTCAAAACTGTTGTTTTAAAGCCAAGTTAGACTTCTGAGAATGCTCTAGTGAAGAGGCGCACTTCAGTATTTTTAGTGAACATTCCCAAATGTTCTTCCTTGTTACTGGTTTTTAGGTTCATTCATGGACATCACTTCTACAAACACAAGTAACAAGAGTGATGCTAACATGGAACCAAGTGACTTCCAAGGAGCTTCTACCAATGACACTATTAAACGTTTAGAGTCAAAATTGGCACAACAAATCAAAAACACAACCAAGCAGCCGGTAAGCTAACGTGTGCAGTTTTGAACCATAATAATGAAGTGGATGTGGTAGACGAAAGTGTTGTATCTGCTCTGAAACATTAGTGTCCTCCTTCAGAAATCGCACAAAACTGGACCCAGGTACTTATAGGAGAACATGAAAAGGGATGGAAAACTATTGAATGATTCCAAAAACGTAAACTGGAAGGCTCTATTAAGATCTCCAATGAAATGTAAAAAATAGTTTATTCTATTTAAAGGGATTTATTAGATTAAAAAAGTCGTGTTTGAAAATCACTGCCCTTAATTTAAATCCAAAATATTAGTATGATATCAAAGGCTTAAACATTTATGTGAATTTTGAAAATACTGTGGCTTATTTCAAGTAGAATGTAAAAATACAAAGATTCTATTCTGGAGATATTGGGCTAATTCTACTGATTTTTTTAATCTGTGTATATGAGATTATTTTCAAAGTTACAGGTATTTTGGTTTTATGTGCCAATAATAGCTCAATTATTACCATTTATTAAGTTACCAATTTTAAATCATGTCACTTTTAAAATGCACATTATAGAAATAGATTTTAACCTGCATGCTGGTGCGTATCATGGAGGGGCTTGTGCAGAATTTTCTTTTTAAAAATGTGACTGTTGAAACAGGGTGATCCTGGCCGTTTGAGTTTGCCCCCATCTCGTGGGAGCAGCGTGGAGAGCTTGTCAGATGTTCGCGCACGACCGCCGTCAGCCCTTGTTTCCGGAGAAGCCAAAAGGATGAGTGCTGACATGTCTGAAATAGAAGCAAGAATAGCTTCCATCACAGGTAAAATTAAAGGATGTGTGGGGCGGAGACTAAGGAATTGGAAGGAAAGAAAGGAGGAAGGAAAATGTGAAATGTGCATAGTCTTACAAAGTTAATACCAGTAGCTGTATGAAAATACTTTAACTTTTCGTGTAGTCTTTATTGTCTTTTATTAATTGTGAGGGGGAAATGGCTTTCTTTATCAGCAAGGTTGACTATTGTAATTGAATATTTTAAAGGTTGTGGAAGAGATTTTGTTGAATTAGATTTTTACTGTTTTTAAAAGCACATTATAAGACTTATAAGTGCTAATCCTATTCCAAATGCACAACTTTCACCTTTGCATCTGAAATAGTGTTATTTCATCTCTGCTAGCATAATTATTTATATAATAACATTTTCTTCAAGGTTATTTCTGTAATATTCTTGAAATTAAGAGGTAGGTTTAAAGTTCAGCATGTTCCCAAATAAGTTTTAAAATCCACTTTGACAGATTTCAGAAAGAGGAACATAGTTAGTTTTTATTCATGAGATTAACAAAGCAATGGTGTCTTCTGTTTAAAAAAAAAAAAAAAAGCTACAGGTGTTTTGCCAGGTTTGCTTCAGCTATAAACTGTTATTTCTAAACATTAAATCTTTGAGAGAATTGGACTTTATCTGTAAGTATAAATACATAATTTTATGGTGAAAGCAATATCTATTCTTCCCAGAAAAGTGAATTAATAAACATGTGTATACTTGGCAAACACTTTCCTGTCTCTTTTCTTCATCAAAGATATTGTTTGTAAATCTGTGTAAACTTCAGGTTTTATGTTCTATATGTGAAAGTTTTGTTTTGTTATGGTATGTAACCATGCATTTAAATAATAAAACAAAATTACTTTGGTTAGTTCAGGGTTATTTAGCTGTTTGAGTATTTTTCTACCAATCTGAAAATTAGGGTAATTGAGTAGTTGCAATTAATAAGGAATTATGTATCAAAATTATGGCTTTGTTTTGCACCATGACTATTTCATTTTTGTTCTTCATTGTATTATGATTACTCCAGAATCTTGTTTTACTAAATACTGAAGTTACTCATGACATAATATTTACCTTACCCTAAACACATTTTATTTTCATGTTCTTATTTTAAAGCTTTATTCCAAAATTTGTCTTTTGTATTGTCAGTCTTTGACTGGATGATTGTGTAGCACATCTCACCCTTGAATATCTCTAAAGGTTTCTTAACACAGAAGGCAGCTGTGTACTTACCTGGTAATAACATCATGCTGGTTTTATTTTGAAATATGTCAGGACTCACTTTGGTCACTGACACTCTTAATGTAAGTTTTTGACATTAGTGGAGATAATCTGGCCCTCCTCTTTTGGAGAGTTTTTAATTTTCCTATTTTTTCTTCCTTAAGTACATTAAGGAAGACAATAATAATTGTCTGAAATAATAATTACTATTCAGAATATTCTAAGATTTTTTTTTTTTTATCACTGTAGGGTTTCTTTTTCTTGAAACAAAACTGTATTTGATTATTATATATACTATTTTTGGTTTGGGGTTCTTTGAGTGTTTTCTTAAGAAATCTCTTCAGGCAGCAGTAGACTACTACAAATGAGGTCAAACCCATCTGACCATAACTTTTTCAGAAAAAGCTGAAAAAGCACTGTATTGGTTTTGTTTTGTTTTTTCAGTCTTGTTAAGTGCGTGACAGAAGTAATATGCTGTGAATCTGAAAAAAAATTGTGTGGCTGGGTGAGAATTGGGCTGTTGTTAATCAAGTCAAGAATCAGTTAATCTTCTTGTTTCAGCTTTCACTAGATTAAGTGTAAGAGTAAATCGTGTAATACACAACACCATTACTTACTGAGATGAATGTGCTACAATGATCTGTTTTTGGGAGATGTATTCAGTTTTTTCTCTAAATAGGAAGTAATTACCTTAAACTACAAAAGTAGCAAAATAAAAAAAAAATTATTAGATTTAAATTCATAGTGTATGACATTTCTTGAATAACATTCAAAAATTACAAAGTTGGTAGTAATATCCAGCTCCCAAAACAAAAAAAATGTCACTAATGGAACAAAAGAGTGAGTGGCAAGAATGATTGTCAAATGTAGTAAGAGTAAGCAATTTTCAGAGACAGATGAGATTTGCTTTAAAAGGAAGTGATCTAAAGAAGTATCTAACTATTAAACTTGTTTATAAAATAGTTTGTACCCAACACTAAAGAGAAAAGGTTATGTAAGTTCAGAGAGTCAGGAATTTATTCTGAATGTGCAGGTCAACTGAAATAATTTCATTTTTTCTCTGTTTGGATAATTACATTTGGTTTTCTCTTCTGTGTTGCCATGCTGCTTTCTGTGTTTGACTTTTGTGTTGCTAACTATAACTAATTACACCGTGTTGTAATGATGGCTAGTTCTGCATTTTTTGCTTTTTAACCGTTGCTTTACTATGTGTAAGCATGAGTGGAAGGCAATGCAGTTTATTCTGCATGACACATTTTTGCATGAACTCTAATTTAACCAAGTATATGAAAAGTGCAGTATTAGGAATTTAATAATTTTGCTATTGCCATTTTAGTGTTTTGCATGTGTATTGTATATGTGTATTTTTTCAGCCTATTCCAAGCCTAAACGAGGCCATCGTAAAACTGCTTCATTTGGCAACATTCTGGATGTCCCTGAGATCATCATACCAGGTATCGCAGACCAGGTGAACGGGTCAGTTGGTTAAGATGCCGGAATAATGATCAGACTGCTAAAATACTTCTTGCTCCAGTTGCTGTAGGACAGAACCAGAAATTATCCCATAAAATTTTTCATAATGCTTCTGTAAAGAGAAGCATAATATTTTATTACAAGCTTACTTTTATCAGTAAAGGATTCAGTCTTCTGGTTCAAACTTACTTGTAATGATAAAGCATTTTTTCCTTTATTATCTTGATGCTTAGAATCTTCTTATAGAGCAAAACTGTATATATGCAGTCTTTTATTACAGCGCCTCATTTGGTGAAAATGGAGTTAAGTTGAAAAATTCCTGCCTAGGTAATTATTTTGCCCTGATCTTTGTTGTGTTTGGGCTCCCATTTTTAATCAGATATTAGTAGAACAAAAAACTTAAATACATTAGGTACAGAATTTCAAATTCGTGTGATATTTGTGATTAAAACATTAACACTTAATCTGTGTAATCCTTATAGTTGATTATGCTGTTCTAGAGCTAAAATGTGTCTGCATGAGGTATTTCTGTTGTGTTTAAGTAAATGCAAACTAAAATTATTAGGAGAGGCTTCTGACAGGAAGAAAATCAGTATAATCAGGCACCATAGATGATAATTTCAGTTGGGACTTTAATGAATAATTCTCATGTGTCCCAGGTCTATTTTTAGTTAGGAGCATATCATTTTCCTTTCCCTTTCCATTTTTTTTTTTCAACCAAAATAGATTTCTTTCATTTCATACTTCTCAAAACCTAAAAATAAGTATAATCAATCCCAAACTGCTATAGGTATACCGTTAGCAGTATGCAAGACACTTCAGAACTATTTGTCACAGGCAGGAAATGCTAATCTACTAAGTATCTACTGCTAATCTAGAAATACACTAGAAACTGTGGACCTCTGAGTCTAAATTGGTGTCATCTGAGGAAGTTACCTTGTAAATCTTGATATCGTTTGGTATTTTAAAGTTGAATGCAGAAGACAATTTTATACAAAAGTTTCTTTTAAATAACTTTATTGAAGGTTACATATAAAAATACAGAAAAAATAGATTCCAAAGAGCAATAGAATGCTCTTTCACAAGTCATGAAAAGAAAACCTCTTTGGCATTGATTCTAACAAATTGGCAAAAGAGTTTGCTAGGGTAGCTTTCCACTGTAACTTTCAAACGGTCCTGGCCTGCAATGACATAAATGAAATCCTGAGAGAGCAAGGAAAGCGAAAGTGATCTGTCAATTTTCACAGTACTAACACATGCTGAGAGCCTCTTAAATAAGCTCTAGAAGCTAATGAGTGCCTCTTCTCTGTGCACACCGTCTGCACATAACAACACTGAGCCTTCCAAGAAACCTTGAAACTTTAAAGGAATGACGAAGTCAGTTAAATAAAATGCCATGTTGTTTTCACTAAATTGGTTGTACCAGTCTATTGGTTTCTTTGTTAGGCAGAGGAGTCATTAGAAATTCTTTTATTTTAATTGAACTGGACAGGATGGGAATTCCAAGATGAATTATTTGGAATACATGAGAGAAATAGCAGCTTGTAGAAATGACAGAAGTTATAGGGCTGGAGCAAGCATATTGATGAATTTTCTCAAAATTTAAGTCAAATTTTGAGGTATTTAAGTCAAAGAAACAATAATGAAATTCACTGTTAATGTTTTATCAGAAGCAACTGTTCATAAAGAGGAGGATTAGAATATTACATAAAGTGAATTTTGCTGTGACGGAAAAGAAATAGGGTAAAATCTAGGGTTATGCACTGTGGGTCACATACTTGCAACTGTTTCTTTTAGTAAGATGACAGGGGACCATAGCAGTTGTGTGCAGATGAATCCCAGGTAGTATAAGCCACTAATGTAATGCAGTTGTGAAAAACTGTGAAATCTTAAAGTTCATTTCCAGGAAGAATGAAGAAGCACTGATGCTATTTATAGGCCCTTGTTGAATTTTAATCAGGAATTCAATATACTGTTCTGGTCAGCCATATAAAAGAAACATACATGCACTCTGAAATAATATCAAGAAGACCTAATAGGATGTTATGGAGAGTATAAAGACGAATCTGAAAGCATGGCTTTTTTAGCCCACAAAATGAAAGCTAAGAAATTAATAATTATTTGCTATGGATGAATCTCCAGCTAAAAACTAGGAAGAGAGAAGTACTTAAGCTAAAAGACTGTATTGGCACTACAGAAGAAATATGTAAATTGTCTGCAAATACATCTGGGCTGTATATTGAAAGCTACTTGGTTGTCAGAACAGCTTTCCTGTAATAATCCCAAAGCCAGAAAAAATTGAGATTAATCATTACATGACAGGGACATGATTATCTGCCCAGTAAACTAATTATAGTCATCTGTATACTTAAAGCAGTTATTCAAAAATACCTTGCTCAGTTACTCTTTTAAAAACAATGGATTTCTCACTTCTTTTCTTTCCTTACTCTCTCAGTTCCCCCCAAACTGTCATCTCCATATCGATCCCACCCCGTTATGTTCCATAGCACTTCTACCCCAGACCCAGCTCCTCCGAACTTCCCTGGGCATGTCCCTCGGTGGGGCGAGCAGCTCGTCTCAGTCCTTGGAGCAGCACAAGCGCCGGTCTGTGCTGCTGCCTGGAGTTGTGCTGAGCACATGGTAAAGCAGCTGCTGCCCAGAGAGGGGAGGCACCACGCAGGCATGTTACCGTGAGTCAGCTGCTTTGGGGCAGGGCTATTTTAGAAGTATGAGTACTACATCTGCTATCATTGGGGCTTTTCGTAATGTGTTGCCTCAACTGCATTTCGTCCATGAACTGATTATGCTGCCAAGGTCGTAAAATACACGTTTTTATCAGTTAAAGGTAAAATATTGGCAGAAGGGGAAGTTTTTGATATATATTTGCTCTTCTTTCTAAGTTAGTACAATAAGGGTGAATAGAACTTTTTGTTCAGTTAAGATGCTGTTTTGTATTACTAGCTTACAAACTTAGAAACTGAAAAATGAATCAAATAATTCCATTTTGTCTAACAGCTTTAGCAAGAGTTTGCAGCAGATAGTATCCTGCAATCAGATAGACAAGCAATGTATCAATTCTTTTTATTAATTTACAGTGTATATATAGTATAGGTTATAAGCACCAACATTTTATTTTTTATTTTTATATATATAAATACGAAAAATGAAAATCCTAGTAAGTGCAAAAGGTTTATGTATCTTTATGTTTAAAGAAACAAAAAAAATCTGAATTATAGTTTGCATACCTTTTCAATACAAACCAGTCAAGCAACAAACCTTCAAGTACAGCCTTTTTTTCGCTGGCAGTGTTAGACATCTCGTGCATTTAGCATGTGTGCATTTGGATTTGTAATTTTGTCATCTGAAACTCTACCACAGCGTTATGATTTTTATAGCATTGACACTGCATAAATGATTACTCAAGATGGACACATTTTGTTGAGGGTCTTTAGAAAGTGGTTAGGAATTATGGATGCTTTAGGTCTGTAATTTTGCTATCTACTTTTAAAACCAATATATACCAGAAATCCCACCCTTGTCTTCCCAAATCACTTCATTCTTCTGGAATTCAGATAAATGTTCTAACTTCTTCAAAATGTCTTCTAGCACTGTTAAGAGTCACTGATCATCCTGCACTGAGAGAGAGGTTTGAGTCTTGTAGGTGTGTAAGGAAGAGAGCGTACTGTGAGTAAATAAGAAAGTGTAAAAGGAGACGCCAGTATCTGTTAAAGGGCAGGGAGAAGAGGTCATAGCTGGTCTGGATGTTTGGCAGTGGGGTGGGGGTGGTGATCAAATAAGTTGTAGAATTTATTTTTGCCTGCAGTATGTGGGGCAGGACATAATGGAAGTTTCCTGTTCCTCTAGAATTTAATTTTAGAAAATAAACAACAGTGTGCGAAATGGGGTTTTTTTGAGGCCAGGAAGTGTGTTTGTGACATTTGCTTTTTAGTCTTAAAATCCTGTAAACCACCAAAAGCCTGACGTTGTGCATCAAGCTACTGTAGATGAACTTCTGTACATGTACAAATCCCTTAGTTTTTATAATGAGGAAAAATTTGTTTTAAATGGTCATAGGGGTAAGAACAAGATCATAACTGTGAGAGGAAAGCATTAAGAAGTACCAGTGATCATTTCAAATAAATATTTTATGTTGTGTTGTATATTTTTCAATTGAAATTTTTCTTGAATCTGGAGCAATAAGTATTTGTTGATTCGTAGTCTGTTTCTGCCTTGTCTAAGCTATTTGCCAGATGTCTGCAGTAGTTACACTAATTAAAATGGCATTGCCTAGTAGAGCTTGCTCTTCCCTCATGCTACTAAGTTGAAGATATTTCATTTAAAGATATTCATTTTTTACAACACAGTAGTTTTGACCCCTCTTTCTCTCTTCCCTCCCCCCCAGCCCAAGGCATTTTCTTTTCTTTCTTGCACCCCACCCTGATTATTTTAACATTTTGGCAGCCACATTCTAATATTTCAGCAACAGATGTGCTGGGTTCTTTAAATTCACAAATGTTGCTAATCTGAAATGAGAATTTCAGATATTTTTGCAAGCCTATTTCAGCTGAGCTAATTTTATAACAATGTTGTTGAATGAAATGTGCACATAATTTTGTGTCAGTTGTGGGTGGATTGCACATATCTCGAATACTGAGATGAGCTGTGGCAGCCAGATGAAGTATCCACAGCACAGAATTCTATTAAATGTATAATCTTGTTTGTTAAAACGATTACATAGTGAAAAAGTTCACTACAAATGAACAAGTTCAGACATTTTGACATAGATTAGTCATTCACACAATCCCTAGTATCAAAGTATTAAAAATACTTAGCCGTTGTTGCTTAGGTAAGTATATACTTTCCCTGAATTTCAGAAGCAAAAGATCGAGACCACAGAGCAGTTGCAATTCAAATTCATTTGCAGTCAGAGCAAAGAATATATTCGTGTTCTAGAATACTGCTTGATTTTCTTATGTGCTTGTTTCTTATAGTACTTGCTATAAATGTGAGATGATAAAATGTCATGACAAATCAGTAGAGTGACTGAAAATTTTTTGTTGCTGGTTTGTGCTAGTGTGTTCCTAAACGTAATAGTACCTATATTTAAAAATTTAAAAGATTATTAAATGTATTGATCAGTATTAAATAGTGTTACATTTTTGTAGTAACTGCTGCAATTCAAAGGATAGGCTGTGTCAGGATAGGCTGTGGAGTCATATGGAAATGATGCTGAATGAGAAGTATCTAAAAGGTTAAAAATGCGATGCCTTTTCCAGGGCTTTAAGTGAGCTGGGTTGGTTGCTGAGTGCAGGGCTGCTGGGCGAGGGGCTGCCACGGCTGCAGTACATGTTTCAGATGCTCCCCTCCAGTAGCGAAGTTACGTAATGCAGAGCTAAGAGCAAGAATTTTGAGCATTGTCAGCTGTTACTCAGGGCGTTTTGGTGTTTCCTTTTGGACAGCTGACCTGCTCTCAAGAGATAATATAAACAATCACTGTAATAAAAATCAAAGTGGCCAGGGAGATTCTGTTGCATAATCTCCTTTTATTTTTAAGGAGACTTTGTTTCCTGGAAATGCCTTTGATTGCGTGTCAGTGTTAAAATTTAAACTGTTTTATGTAGCTGTCACTGGTGGATAATTGTGAACAGGTGGAAGGAGAAGAGGAAAAGATTACAGCATTGTGCTCCGTAGGTTGATGGTGAGATGTGATTTAGCTGAACAGTCCCCTTTTCACACTTCTCAGAGCATGAGAATAGGACATAGTTTCGTTCCTCTGAAGGAGACAGAAGACCAGAAGAAAGCACTTTCGTTTCATAATTTTCTTGAGGGGAGCTGCACACAGACAGAAGTCCTTGCTGTGTTCCTTGAGCAAGCCAAAGAGCAACAGGTTAAAGCTGGCAGCCTGTTATCTTCGCGGTTTAGCTTTTAGAAATCCCCATAACGTAACGCACTTGAAATAGATGTCGTCATCAGCTCCTGCCCCAAGTACTAAGCCTGACCAAATACATGTGACAGAAGATGGTGGAGTAGAGTGCAGCAGCTATTCATGTGGTAGGAGTGGTTATTGTATTAGGGTATACTTTTTGTTGACAGGCCAGCATGTTTTGAGTTAAAATTCTGCAGCTGTCTCTCTCTCTCCCTCTCCCACTTTGTCTCTGTGGATTTGTACAAATTCCAAGCTCCTCTGCAACAGTCGCACCCTTCTTATTTTGTTCTGAATATATTTCACTGGTTTGTTTTTGTTTTGTTTTTTTTTTCCCAACAGGAAACGGACAGCAGAGGCGCAGATCCATTCAAGATCTTAGTGTTGCTGGAACTGAGTCCAGTCAGGTAATGTGCTTCTCTTCTCTTCTTTGCCTTTCAGTAAAGTCAGCACCAAATCCATATTGGGGAACTGGTCTGGAAATCTTCACCTTTGATGCTTTCATAGAAATGATGTGGAAGCTTGGCAGACTGTAGCATTGCTTGTATTGAATTTAAATGAGATTCCATGAGGGTAATCTATGAATGAGCTCTAGATGAGAAGCATTTTCTGTAGAGTTTATGCAGTATTTAGCATTTTTGCATACACATGGTTTTTGTGTACCTCTTAATTTCTCTGAGGGCGGATATTACTCAGGAAAGCCTTTTTTCTCTCTATGTAGAAAACAATTGTAATTACTACTTGTTATCTGAAGCAGTTACACATATATTAGACTCACTTTTTGCATGAAAACAAAAAGCATGTGCATCACTATTATAAATGTTATTTATTACCAATCTCTGAATCCTGAATAGTAACTTACAGTAATATTTCTCTATTTCTTGTGAAAGATTTTACAGCAGGGTGTTGTCACAAAGTTTTGTTTTAAAAAAAGACTATTTCAAAACAATATTTTATAATAACATAGCTCCTTGTCTGATATTCTAACTGCCATGGTAACAGAAACAGTGGTATGCTACATAACGTGCTCTTAGTTTAATTTCAATTTTAAATGAGAGAAGTACAGCTAATTCTTCATTCAGATGTGTTTATTTTGTGTTTTTAATTGCTTCAATAATTCACAGGGCCTATTTGGTCCTTAGTGTGAATGGGCAATTTTGAGATCCCTACTATTAATTGGATGTGGGATACTGGAGCTTAGCATATTCATCAGGTTAATCAGGTTTTGCATACTAAACAACCGACTGCAATAATCAAAAATAGGTGGTAATTCTTGGGGGGTGTAGTTATCAGGGAAATGAACATTTGATCCTTAATTCAGTGGAGTATGATAGCCACAGAAACCTCATCAATCCTGTAGGTATAAGTAGAACTTACTTTGTGCATCTATGAGAAAATAACAGATGAGTCTTAAATACATTTTAATATCCTCAGAGAAGACAGGTTTGTTAGAAAGGAAAGAAATGAATCTGCAAAATTGAGGAAAGAAATATATTAGCCTATACAGTTAATTGTCGAACTAAAATTATGTAAGACTGGGGGGGTGGTGGCAGGAATTAAGTGACAGTACATCAGTTACACCAAATTGTGCTGATTGTGTGGATATATTTAATTATAGCATTTTTTACTGAGAAGTTTTCATTCTGCTCTTTTTAATGAATGGTTAGTATTTAAAAATACAGATTTTCAGCATTTGCTTCATATCTTAATAACTTATTATAACAGTCTTTCTTTGAAAGTTGTTCTGCTGCTTGCATGGATGTTCAAGCTAAATTGTCCTTGTGACCAGGAGGATACAAAAATTTTTTTTTATGTTTACCTCACCAATTTTATATGTGGGTCTGTAGAAGTACCAGAATCACATTTTACTTTCTTGCTTCTGATAGTGTACGTATTGGAAATGTAAGAAGAATTGCAGTTATCTGTTTCTATCTTGCAGTTTTTGGAAACCTTATGGTAAATCTGGAAAACGTAATATTTTAACTGGCAGGGAAAATACACTTTCAAAGACATTTTTGCTCTGTCCATATAAACGAATAGTGAATTTTTATGCCCTTTTTGGTGTGAGAAGGGATTGAAAAATCCACTGAAGCCAATGCTAACTTTTGATGTACATATGTTTGTATATTAAAAAAAAAAAAAAAGGAAAACTATGAAGAAAGTAATTATGCCTAAAGACTTAAGATTATTCTCTATGGGTTTCTGTAGCTCTGGACCTCAATGCATTGAATTTTTATTAACAATCTTGAACTGCTGCCAGTATAGACAATCTACTAGCCAAAGCTGAAAAAACATCTGACTAGCGTAGCTCTGGTCAGTTCATCCTATCTTCCCACATGCACCATACCATATATAGGGTATCCTTTCTAATGTGAAAATCCCCTTCCCCCTCCTTCCCTTCATTACAAACATCCTTCTTCCCTGCATTCCATTCTCCTTTACACCCACCCTGCGGCACGGCCTTCTTCACCAGGCAGCCATGGCCCTGCGTGCCTCTGCTCCCTCACCCAGGCTGTGCATGTCCCTGTCCCGCTCAGAACTGAGGATTGACACGGTGCCTCTTTTCTGGTTTTTAACTGCTTGACTGATACACTAAAGCTGGTCAGAAATCTTTTTATTGAACATATTTTTCCTGAAAATTGGTGCTGTGTTAATAGAAAAGATTCTGTTATAGAAGATTCTGTTATAACTACTGGGGTTTAATCAGGAAGGTTTTCTTAAGGTTTTTCTCTTCAGGTGAAGGAAAACACCAGGTTTGATAATGATAAATATACTGAACTTTGGGTGCTTACCTGAACACGTGGACCAAGACTCTTGTCTTCCTTTTTAACTGCTTATCTGTTTTAATTCAATCACCTATTTGTGTTTTATGACTGTATGGCTATTTTATTTCTGTGTACTCTTATGAGAGATTTTTTGTGTGGTTTGTATGGCTGCTGATTACTGTGTATATGTTGTTGAGACACTTAAGGCACTTTCTGATATTACTGAGGTTCTCAATAGCAGTGCATTGCAGATGGTTTTACGAATCAGCGTCAACCATTTAGGTAGGAAAATATGCTAAGTCAAAGGTTTTCCATCATTGGATCAGCTGTTGGAGTGTTTTGGTGTTGAGAATGTATGTTTAAGTCTGAATTTGCATGAGTTTCTCTAGTACTTGGTGACCTTAGACTGGTCATTACTCCAAGTGACAGGAGCGGCACTGACACAACCATCTCTGTAAAGTCAGATACTACATTTTTGTTTCTTTCCATCCATATATTGTGATGCTTTATTCATTTTTCCACATAACTTATTTTTTTTGGACTGATTTGTTTATTCTGCCTTTCTGTTTCCCTGTACACACATTTTAAACCATTGTATTGTGTCATCTGTCCAGCACTACTGCACTTGACTAAACACTCTGTAACACAGAAACACATGTGCAGACTCTGAAATGCACATTAATACTTTTGCTGCCATTGATACTTTTGAGGACTTGAAGGAACACAGCGAACAGCTATTTACACTGCGTAGAGTCTTAACAGAATTTGAAGTTTTGTACAGATACTGAGAAACGTGTCTGGCATAATCATGCAAGAACTGATCAGATGCCAAGTAAGGTATCCATCTTCTTCCCTCCTTCCTTCAGTCGTGTATTGATTTTGTGGTTTGGTACATCATCTTTCACAGTACAATCGGAATATCAAAACTACCTACTACCTCTTTTAAACATTGTTTTGTTTTGTTTTGTTTTGTTTTGGGATTATTGTGTTTTGAGGGAGGGGAGGTGGTGTAGCAGTTGCTGGGCCTTCATAATTCTTACAGTTTACTTTGAAGTGTAAAAAAATATATTAGAGAAAACCATGTACTGTGTTGAACAGTTGAGAAGCAAGGTCAGAATGTGCATGCCCACATGCATGCAAGCTAAGTGGGATAATTTGGGGGATCTGATATTATACAGATGACTCATTCTCTCTGTGAGATAGTGAAATTTGTCACAGATGCGCATTTGGGTTTTTTCTCTCATGCTGAGATAAAATTCATAGATGAGGCAATGAGGAGACAAGGGTAGTAATGATGATTTCTTTAAATTGTGTTGTCCACTGAAATTAAATTGGGCTGCGAGTTGTTATTCCTCAGAGCACTTGAGCTTTTCCAGACTGCAAGTCTTTGAGGAGTGGAAGCTAAAAGCTTGGGATGCCATCTGAGTTTGACTGCCTGGAAGAGAAGATTTGAGAGTAACCTGCTAACAAGTCTGTTAAGCATGATGAGATACCTGGAGGAAGCAAGGATGGAAGGATACTGGTGAAGGAGTAGCAGAAACTGCTAAAGTACAGGCAGTGGTTTCCCTGTCAGAGGGACTGGTGTCCAGGAGGCTTAAAACATCTCACTCAACACACACTCAAACACTGCAGTTTAACTGGTGCTCAGTTTTATGAACTTCCCTTTGACTTTGTAGTACTTTTTAGATATACCTCCTATATGAATCCTTCATTTCTGTCTCTAGTTATTTCATCTAAATAATGTTATCAAGGAAATTTTTTTTTTTCTGGTTGATGGACCAAAACAACCTGGTACAGCCTTGAGAAGTTACTGTAACTACTGTAGTTCTCAGGTACCCTTTGCTATCAACTGTAGATACTCAGCAAATCTCTTTTTACTTAGAAGACTCACATACTGTTAAAAGTGATCTGTCTTCTGGTCTTTCACATCAGCAGCATGTGTTTATCATTCATATCTGAGGACACTGACAGTAAACTCAGCAACATAAACTTTGCTTAATATCAACAGACACCCACACAAAAGCTTTTTCAAAATGTCTGATGCCATATCTTGATAAAATCCATCAGATTATTTCTAGAGTAGTTCATTGCCCTGTTTCTGCCCGTTAACTTAAAACACTAAACGCTTAATCAGCATTACAAAAGAAACAGTATGCAGTCAAAATAATGGATCTTTCAGTGTGTAGAATCTTGTTAGTCTGAATTGTTACTTGGCTGAAATCTTGGCTTTTAAAACTTAAATTAAGGTAGGATATTTGGAAATCATAAAGAGTCATAAAGAAATATAGTTTCCAGGAAATGTGTGTTTGAGTGCTTCTTTTGAAAAGTGGAGACATTTAATTAATTGTTTCATGATAAATGCACCATCTTGAAAGTAGTTGTATTTTAATTACTTCTTTTTACTTCATTTTTTTCAGCAAAACTCATTGGGGCTTATAGTCTTAAGTCTTTTACTGTGTTAATTTTATGTCAGTGAAGGCATATGTGAAATACAAACATACATGTTGTAAATAATTGTTCTGAAAAAGAAGCTCAGTAGAATAATGAAATCTGTATTGTGTTTTTGTGCTTGGGTAAACGAAAGGATTGGAGGAGTCAAACGGTATATAAAAGAACATGCTAAACAGAAGAACCATAAGAAAACTGTAAATTAATACACTGCAGTCTAGTGCAGTTACTAAGCTGTATTCCTTTAGTTGAATGTAGTTTCATTCATTGATTAAGCATTGGAAACAAACTATTTCTTCCTTATGTTATGGAGTTGCTAGATTTCACTGAATGGTGGTGTGAAAATTCCTAGACATGTTGTCATGCTTTTCTGTAAAGACCTTGAACACATTGTTCAGCATTGCTTTTATTATACTGAATAGCAAAATTGTATCAATTTATTTTACACAGTACAGATGGAGTACAAATGGGGATGAAATTATCCCTGCACTGCATGTAAAGTTGATCAAACTGTCAGGAGAGCTTTCAGAGTAAAAGCTTGGAGAGGAGGGTATTTTGGAGGTTTATAGGTTCAGATTTATTCCATTTTTTTTTTCTTTTTTAATTAACTTCTAAAAAATCTTCTTTTAACTTGTCATTTTGTTTTATTTTGTCATTTCAGGAGAGCAGAAACAGCAGTAGATCATCTAGTCCTAGTGTGAGAATGATCACTACCTCGGGACCAACCTCTGAAAAACCAACTCGTAATCCATGGACACCTGATGATGCAGGTAATCCTTTGTTCATTACTTAAATTTTTGCCTGGAAAAAATATAAAATATTTATTTGGTTGTGTTGTGGGGTGTCTGCTTGGGCATTAATAAAAGTAAGCAATGAAAGTCAAGGTCCATTTTAGTTCTGCTTAAATTAAATCATTACATTACTGACTTGTTTTTCATGTAGGCTTTGAGAACACTTTTTTATAGATTATATTGAGTTACATAGACTTGTAAGTATTTTGCTTGTAAGAAAGTACTGTACATGTGCAGTGATACTAATATTTAACAAAGATCTTGTTAGCACCAGTTTTTGACTACAGTGTGGTTTTAGGAAATTAGTGGCATAGACATCTTGTTACATTTTAGTCTTGTGCATTCATATTAGGAATGTACATTTAAAACTTTTGTTACTCTGACATCTGGAGTGAAATGCTATGCAGGTGAGTATCAGGAATAAGTTAATTCTGTTTATCATCTCTCTTCTAATTTTGCTTATGCAGAATGTACATGTGCACACAAAATTACTTTTTTTCAATGAACTAATGTGTCTGCAGAAATGTAAAAACTTCTACTGTAGCATCACCGTTCTTTTGTTATGAAATAGGATTAAGACTGAGCATAATTGAGTAGTTGAATTCGATTTTAAAAGTCATAGTGCGTTCCATAATGAAAAGAACCAGTACTGGACTGCATGAAAACAATGGATCCCACAAATTCCTTTTCAGAATGTAAATAAAAATTACAGTTTTGTTACCAAACTGTACATACTGAATCTTAAATTTAGACTCAAGCTGGTACTTCACAATGTGTCAAATTCTTAAATCTTTTTTTTGTGATCCATTTCATCTGTCTGATCAGTCTCTTATTCTTTTCCTCTAACCAAGTACAAAATGGAAACTCACTTGTGGACTAACTCTTACACAGGCATATGTATATATACATACATTTGTATATATATATGCACACTTGTATTTTACCAAATATAAGGTGATTATGTAAGACTTGTACTTCGGATTTTTTCCCCCTGCTTTAGTGGGAGGAGGACATCATACCCTTGCATTTAGCTTCTGTGTGTTCTTCTTTCTGTCCATTGTTACTTTGCCTGGTCACACTCTGTGCCCTATCACTCATAATTTCCCAAAGCCCCTTGCCCATTGCTGCAGCCCACCCTGTGCCCTCTTGTACAACATGGATCTTTGGGCACTGAGCACTTAAGGGAATTGCTGCCTCACATGAAAGCAAGGTCTTACCAGTTAGTAGTTCATTGGGAACTGAAAGCTGCTAGTCCTATGCCAGTGCAAGGACAGTTTGTGCCAAGTCTTTGTTCTTAAATGCAGCACACACTAGAGCTAAAAGTCAGGTCTGTTTTCTGGCCCACAGAAATCCCTCACCTTATACTCAGGTAAATACAGAATGTGCCGTACATAGTTAGGTTTATGCAGTCCATGAACAAAGAGTTGTTTGAGTTTCTAAAGAGGGAAATAATTTTGGTTTTCTGAAAAAGAGGGTGCATTTTTAATTAATGAGGCAAAATGATAAAACAAGGATACAGCTGAATCTGGTCAGTCACAGGAAAAGTTGCAGTTCTGTGACACTGTTGAAATGCTCAAGAATGTCATCTGAAGTATTTTGCATGTATTGATGTATTTGAAGCGTTGTAGTGATGGCTTTGTTTTAGCAGTTTCCATTTACAGCAACAGTCTAACGTAGGGAAGGACTTTTTTATATTGATCGCATTTAAGATGCTGTAGTGATTAAGTCTTTGGTTTTAGGGTTGTTTTCTTTTTCTTTTTTTGTTTTTACCACCTTCCAGTTTCCTTACAAGCATACACTTAACCACTTTTTCTTCATTCCCACCCTCTTATTTCTGTTTCCTTTTGAAGCTGCTCTTGGAGATAGCATAGTCTTTGAGGGCAACACCTTAGTTTCTCTACCACGACTACTCTGTGGCAGGTGCTTTTGGGGTATGGGTAAGCAGCCCCTTTTTTTTCCCACCTACCCTCCTCCATATAATCCTCTAGTAGCAATAATGCGGCTGTAAAATCAGTAGTTTCTCCATGTGTCTTTACTCTATGTCTCTTAAAGCTTAACAGTAACCTTGTGATCCCCAGAGTGTGGGCTACTATAAGATAGGATTTGTAAGAACTCAGAAATGTGTGAAATCTGGAATGAAAGCACTAGAGAAATCTAGAGTAACTGCAGTGTAAGAAGAGAGCAGCCCAGCCCAGGAGACAGATTGGCTTCCATGCTACCCACAAAGTATCTCTACAGAGCAGAGAAGATGCCCTAGAGCGTGTTGTGAGGAGGAAACTTAGAGACCTCGCTGGGAGCAGGTTTCAAAACTGAGCAGGAGGTTGTGCTTATGTTATTTTGGCAGAGCCGATTTGCACAGCTTCTAATTTTAAAGTGATTAGATGCATGGGCTGGCTGGCTGATCCTTCATAAACAAGAATGAAATGGCAATTTTTTTATAAACAGAAATGATTACAAACTGTACAAAAATAGTATTTTTAAAATCTGTATGCTGTTACATGGCTTCTAGAAATGTAGGTTGATAACCATAATCTTTATTTCTTCTTGGTGTGATAGACCATACTTTTGAAGTTTTTAACTATCAGGAAAACAAAATGATTCATCTGCCTTGGGATTGAAACGCTGCTATTTCCATCTGCCTGTCCACATTCAGATTGTGTTTTGTGAAATTACTTAGAATTCTTGTTTTTGTCCTATAAGAATAGAATTAACTCTTGAAAATACGTTAAAATTTTCTTGGTATTGTTACAGAGACCAATGGGTCAGATAACTCCATCCCAATGGCATATCTTACATTAGATCATCAGTTACAGGTAATAAATAGACACTTTATTAGATTCATTCTAACGTGTGACTTTTGGGCTGCAAAATATAGTGACAGATATTTACCTGGGTTTATATTCTGTCTAATTTTTGACCAAGGCTAAAAAAAATGTATTGCGTAATCTGAGATTGGTTGACTCAGATTTGATCAAGCTATTAAAAACAAGCCCTGGGAAACATGATTCCTAAAACCAAATGTAAGCTGAGTTTGACTGTCAAAATAAGACATTATTTGCTTGAGTGTTACTGAATTAAATTGTTGTACACACTTTATTTATTGTATGTTGGGTCAAACACTACTTTGATTTTTGTGACAGGTGTCAGATTAAAAACTGCAGGTTTGAGGTTTGAGTCATCTTTGACATAGGTGCAGTAACGTTTTCCAGGGCATGGTTTAACGCTTATTTTTAAAAGCTTACTGGTTTTTAAAAGATGTTATAAATACACTGCAGAGACATTCTAACACACTACTTACTAAGATATCAGTTCATTAGTCTTTAACATGTCTGATTTATTTTCAGCCTCTAGCACCGTGCCCAAACTCCAAAGAATCTATGGCTGTGTTTGAACAGCACTGCAAAATGGCACAAGAATATATGAAAGTTCAGACAGAAATTGCATTGTTGTTGCAGAGAAAGTAAGTAAAATGTGTTTTACCTTTTGTGTTCTTCTCTGTGTTTTTTTTTTACACAAAGTCTGTTCTCTGTGACTGTTATATCTGGCTTTATGAAGTAACATTTCATAGAGCATAATTATTTTCCACCCTTAATGTCAGAAATACTGAGCTGCTCAGTACAGATGAGATAATTGAAAGTTTAAATCAATATCAAGACACTTCTTCTGGACATGTCCTAGATAAGTGTGTGGCACATCTGTATATGTAGCAGACTAGTAATATTTGTTTGTATCATCTCAGGTGAAAGATCTGGACTGTTAAAGAACCTTGGAATTTTATTTACAACACTGTCCATTAACGAGTTTTCAGTTATAACTGTGGGTAATTAGTTAATGGGTTATAGAATTTTGAGTACTATGTCAGTGTTACTCATTTTGCAGTTAGTTTTTATCTGACCTTTGTCAAGCATTGCATTTACAACAGTGTTATCAACACACATCTTACCTTTTTTCTACCAGAGGTTTAGGACCTAATACTTTGACCTTTTTATGTACCTTCTCCTTGTGCATCAGAAATAAACTCTTTCCTCTTACACTGTGTACATGTATAAGTGAAGCCACTGCGTGTATGCTTGTATTAGAGTGAAAATTATTGCTGATTCAGAATTCGTGTCCACAGTAAGTTCTGTTGTGCTCTACCTACCCTTTCTGTTTCATGATGCTGGGGAGCAGTTCTGAGAGGTCACAGATACTCCCACACTAGACCAAGTTATCAGCTCATTACCCATCAGTGTCTGAGCCACTGCAGGCAGGCAGTTGTTAATACAGGGTTTGCCTTGGAGTTTATGGATTAGTTAATGAGAAAAATGTGTTGTGTAAACCTTTTGTACGTTAGAAATAGCATACTGAACGGTGGGGAAAATGTTACTGTAAGTTTGAACTCCTATCATGTATTCACTTTTGGCTTAGTATCCTGAGAACAATTTGATTTTTTAACATGCAAATAGAATTTTTAGGAAGAATATCTTGATGAGGAGATACTGAAGCTAGAGAGAATATCTTAATTTTGATTTTGTGTTATTTCTAAGGGTCAATAACTTATATAAAAATGTGTTTCTGTTTCAAAACTCTTAATTCTTTGCTTTTCGGTTCCTGCTAGGGGTTTCTTTTGTAGTAATTTTGTATTGAATTTTCTTCCAAACTGGTTTTTCTTAGTCAGAATGTAATTGTTCATGGATGTTAAAGCAAAGAATAGTGTTGTGATGGATTAATTTAATGCTGGTTAAGGTAGTTATTAGTTCAGCCCTCAAAGAATTATTAAGTTTTCTTCAACTGTAATTAAAAACCATATGGCAACAATTAATTAACATGAACTTTCTCCTTTACTATTTTGTTGCAAAAATATTGCTGGCAGCTTGCCTCCTTGTTGCCTTGTAAACAAATAGTAAAACAAACTGCTACAGCAGTTTTGCAGAATAAATTATAACCAGTTTATCAGCGTGTTTGGTCTTCTAAAATTTCTGCTAAAAAACAGTGTACATTTATGGTGTAAATTATGTGAAATGCCAATTACAAAAATAATTTCATTGATTCTGTGTTTCCACTGCTTTCATAAGTTCAAGTACAAATAGAAAATGCACTTCACTAAAAAGTTATGAAAAATTACTGCAATTTTGTATTTTAAGTTGTCTTTAGAGATTTAAAATGTGCATATATTTATGCAAAATTAAGAGTTGAAAATATATATGAAATTTTATGTGGCTCCTTAGATGTTTTGCTGTGACCTTTAGAACTATGTCTGAAAGACATTATCTAAAGGACAGTTTTAGAGATTGAGGCTATGTCTTGCAGCTAGTTTTAAGTATAAATGTAGACTTGATTTGGAAGAGAATTTTTCCCCAGACTACATTAAAGAATAAGACTTTTTTTGTCAACTTTTTTTGCACAAAATACCACCAGCTGTGAGTTCAGATTGATAATCAGTTACTGATTTGAAATATATGAAATCATCTACACACAAATAGAAATAGATTATAAATGGCAATTACTTTTTTTTATTATCATTTTAGACAAGAACTAATAGCAGAACTGGACCAGGACGAAAAAGACCAGCAAAACACATCCCGTCTGGTACAAGAACATAAAAAGCTGTTAGATGAAAACAAAAGTCTCTCAACATACTATCAGCAATGCAAAAAACAATTAGAGGTCATCAGAAATCAGCAACAGAAACGGCCAGGCACATCATGATTTCCTGGGACCTTTCAAATGAAAAATATGCACAGAAAAGACTGATTTATTTTTTTTTTTATTGTTATTACTATCCCTTATTATGACAGCTCCTGAGTGTTAGCTTCTTGGTGTGATCTGTACTTGTCTGCTACACTTAACATCATTTAATTTTCTCTTTCCTATGGTGGACATCCAGTTCAACAGGTTAATCGAATAAGGTGAGAAAACAGTGACTTCAATTAACCAACAGCCCTCAGTTGAAAGCAAGAAGAGTGGCTGCTTGCATGCTCCTTGTGTGAAGGCTAGCCTAACAAGTGTTAAGGAGGCTGCTAAATTTAAAGACCCTGTTTTTAGTTTTTGGTGTTACCTCGATAAGAGCAAAAAAAAAAAAAAGACTTTCCTGTTTAAGAATGGTTTTGTTCCAGTGTCTCATCTCAAACTATTATTATGATGATTGATTGTTTTCAGGACTTAAACAGGCGCCAGGCTGCAGAGGTGGTGTTGGCTGACCACAGTAATTAGTGATGCCTTTTACCTGTAGACATAGTGTATTTTTTCCACATGCAGAATGGTAGGCACACTGATGCCAGCATCCTTGGTTCAGTGCTTGATAGCCCTGCATTTTGACTAATATGTTTCTTGTAATCTTGCTTTCATAAAATATTTGAAGTAAAAGACTGTATTTTGTTTACTTTCTTGCGGTGAATGACATGCAGTTTCACTTAATTACCGGGCAAAAGTTGATTCACTGGGCAAAGTTGGTCCCTTGTGAAAAGAGGAAGAATCTGTGGAAGAGAGGAAGAATGTGTGGAAGCATGTTTTAAACCTTTAAAGCTTTTGTCCCTGTAGCATCATGGGATGGAAATTCAGAAAGAAAATTATTACAAAACTTGAAATACTTGCTCCCTTTGTAGTTTTACTCTCTTAATGGTTTTGTTTTGTTTTTCTTACAACTGATTTGCTGAAAAGCATTTACCATGAATGTAAATAAGTTTGTTTTAGATAGGGAGAGAAGGGTTTGGGGAAATGAATTTATTTTAAATAGCAAATTATGAAATGGAGTTGACTGTGCAAATAGCAGAAGCTATTAAGAACGTGAGGAAAATGGCTTAGATCTCCATCAGGAGTCTCATCATAGTTCAAAGGAAGTCCATCACAGAATGCCTGCTGCCTTTGTGACTGAAGAGTTGCATTTAATGAACTCAAGCAGAATATGTAATGTTTAGTGTTGTTATTCACTGTTATTACATGGGAGAAAATAACTGCTTGTTTTACATTGCAGATTAATTACTTGGATTATGAATTAACTGGTACAAAAATGAGGCACTTCTAAATATAATGGTAAATTATTCCTTGTGTAAGTTCTTGAGGTACCCAGTTGTGGGCAGGGTTTTAATAACACTCCTTTGAAAAAGAAAAGTAGAAAATTGAAGTTGAGCTGTGGAGCCCTCCAGATGAAAGAAAAGTAGTCTAAAATTTGCCTTACACTTATTTTAAATGAATAAGAGCCCGTGAGCAGAACTTAGAAAAACCTTAAGGGTAAAAACTTTACAGTATTTTCTCTTTTCTTTCCTGCCTACTTGATAAAAACCATTAGTACTGTTGTGCTTATCTGTGAACAGCAAAGATGATGAACAATGTACTAAACAGTGTCATCCTGTCTTGAAAATAAATCTGTTGTTGGCAAACCTTGGGGAGTTAGAAACCCTTCCCTCGTTTTATTTAAATAAAGGAAGGGTTATCATTTCCAAAACCTTAGCAGATAATTTCATTAGTTAGCTGAAACTGATATTGGGATCAACTTAAGGGCACACATATTTATAGCAAAATGTAATTGGGAGAGAAAATAACTGTAGTATTAGGAATAGCACAAGTTATCCAGAGCATTGCTGTTCGAATGCATCTGTCCATCTACCAAAATGGAGACACTCAGTGATCAGTAGCTTACTTAACATATGCTGAAGCATTAAGTAGAACAGCATAAATACTGATGCTCAACTTCAGGTGCATGGTTGATAATTACATACACAAAATCATTTACCAGGACAGTTTTTACATTTCAGCGTGTCGTAAAACAGGCACGCTTAGGGTAAATCCATTTTGTATGTGAAAAGTCACTTTATGGCAAGGTTTGAGTAATGAAGGTGAATGCAGTGATAAATTAATGGTACATAATACAAAAGTCTGTTCTAGCAGTTGCTTATGACTTTTCAGGGTTTACATTATAAAGGGTCTCAGATTATAAAATAAGTACTGTGCTACCATGCACCGTCGGCTCCATTCAGTAGTTAAATTATATTGCTCTTGTAATTTTCAGAAGGAATTTGGAGTTTGACCTCTTGCCTTCAAATTGTCCCTTTCTTAATTCCACCAAAAATGAAAAAATATTTGCCCAGATTTCTCACTGAAGTTTTCCATGTGGCAAAATTTGTGTATCATTGAAAAAACAAAACCAACTTACTAGGGTAAAGAAGAGAGTAAAGAGCTCTAGGGTAAAGAACTTAATTTTCAGTGACCTTTGTTGTTTTCATAAGGCTCTTGTTTTAAAGTTGTTTACAAATGTACTTGTTTTTTTCTGTTAAAGTATCTGGACTGTTCAGGAACTTTTTTCATGTACTCTTTTGTCCAGTAAAGCTGTTCCTCTAATAATAGAGGTGAAACATCTAGTTTTGACTGGGCATTGCCTTCTCAGAAAAAGTAACAGTCTCTGCTTTTTGTTGCAGTATGTGTTCTGTAAAATATTGTGTAATGGAAAGTATGCTTCTGTACACTATGCAGTTCTTCCAAAATACTTTTCTAGGCTTTTTGGTTTCTTTTTTCTGATAAGGAGTTGAAGATTGTAATTCAAAACTTGTACATAAAATGGTGAATGATTTCATATGATGCAGGAATGAGCAGTGTGGCTTTCTGCTACAGGGTTTTATTGCTTTGTCAGGAATTAATTAATAAAAGCTGAGAGCCTTCCACAAACACGTAGTGATGCCCCAACACTTGCTGGGGCATCCGTAGTCTCCAATGGAATCCCACACTGGGTGGAAGATGATCATTGTGCAGTTGTTCCCACTGCCGAAAAAAATTCTTCTGCTATGAGCTCGTCCCTTCCTGTGTGCAGAAGTAGGGTGTAGGATGAATAGTCCTACTCATAAGTGAGTATCAAGATATTCTAAGAATGCCACATCTTCCTTATGGATGTTCAGCAAAGAGATACATTCTCATCTTCCATTCTTCAGTTCAGACGAATAAATTCCATTCCCTGGAACTTCCCTATTTTGTTCATAATGGATTTTAATGCTTGAGAGGTTCCATTGCTGTGCCACAGAGGGACAGTCCCCTTAGTTATTTTGTTGCCTGTGAAGAACACAGAATTGTTCTTCAGATCTGTTCTGAGGTATTTTGAATAACTCTACTGTTTCAGGTGCCCTGCTTGTAACCTGCAGGGAAGGTTTGAAAGGGTAAGGGAAAAATAAAAGGTGTGGCATACTCAAGCCCTCAGAATACAGATATCCCTGGTGAACTGGTTGAAGAGGAGGATTTTATGAAAGTAAAACCTCTGTGTACATGTATATGCACACATAAACGCAGTTATGTACTTGCACGTTCATACGTCCCTGAAAGGAGGTTGTAAGCCAGGTGGGTGTTGTCCTCTTCTCCCAGGCAACTAGTGGCAGGATAAAAGGAAATAGTCATAAGCTGCCCCAGGGGAGGTTTAGGTTGGACACGAGGAGGGATTTCTTCACAGAAAGGGTGATTAAACATTGTAATGGGCTGCCCAGGGATGTGGTGGAGTCACTGTCCCTGGAGGTGTTTGAGGAAAGGCTGACTGTGGCACTCAGTGCCATGGTCTAGTTGATGTGATGGTTCTTGGTCATAGGTTGGACTTGATCTCAGAGGTGTTTTCCAACCTAATTGATTCTGTGTAGGTGTAGAGAGATGCACATTGAATCAGAATTGATAGATATCTTTTTCTTTCCATAATCAGACCTTTCTGTGGTTAACTTTTATTTACATTAATAATGTCACTAGGTAGGTTATGCTCTATGCCTGTGAAGATCAAGTTCTTCCCTAGAGGCAGATAAATACAGTTGTGTGTATCTGAGAGTGCATCAGGTTTTTTCTATGCTCCTGTAGCAGTTTTCTGCTTCTTGCAGGGACAGTTGAGATCTCCCACTGAACTTGGAGAGACTTGCTACAAATGTTTTAACTTGGAACCTACATCCTGATTCTGGTCACGGAAGGGTACTTAATGAAAGAGCAAAACTGAATTTAGTCCAAATAGATTTAATTTTTAATTATTTATAAAATACTCTTAAAATACTAGCCCTAATCCTAGGGCTCTTAACTTAAACAAGCATTCATGAAAAAAATTAGTTTTTGTTCATAACTGTGTGCTTTACACTAAGTAGCTAAAAATCTGAGATACCCCAAGGGATACAACAGGCTTTTGTTTGCATAATTACACGATTTGTTGATACCTGCCTTCCAACTTGGATAAAGGCAGCCCAGCTACTCCCCCAGATGGGAACTGTTGCCTTTTAAGGGTGGGTGGAGAGGCTGAGGTTGAGATCACTGAGGTTGGAAAAGATCTCCAAAATCATGAGTCCAGCCTTTGACTGAACACCACCCTGTCAACTAAACCATAGCACCAAGTGCCACGTCCAGTTGTTTCTTGAACACTTCCAGGCATGGGGACTCCACCCCTACCCCTGGCAGCCTGTTCCAATGCTTAACCACCCTCTGAGTGAAGAAATTCCTTCTGAGATAGTTGCATTATAAGAAGTTTAAAGCATATGCAGCCTTGTGTGAAGGAAGAGCTGGTGGGTGGAAGCACCCCGCCTCCTTTGTGTGAGACCACAGCTCCTGGCCAAGGCGGGGGGAGAGGCAGGGGATAGTGCAGCCCCAGCTGTGTCTCCCTAACAGTGTGCAGACTGCATATGCAAGTTTTGGCTTCTCTTGGACCTCCTTCTGTCTTTAAGCAGTGAGTGGTCCCTGTATGAACACAAATCAGAGGTTTGTGATCAGTGACACCTGCTCTGGTTGGAGGCTGTCGCTGGCTCTGTCTCCCAAGGGTTGATACTGTGTCCAGTTTTAACTTACTCATCAATGACTTGGATGAACACTCACATGTGGACTGGTGGAAATGCAAGGGTCTTCCCTCTTCCTGATCATGCTTTTCCATCCCACTGGTGTTGAACAGGAGAGGCTATGGAGCAACTGCACAGAGGCTGCTCTCCTCTCATATTGAGGCAAAGGACTAAGGAGTGACTTGCATTCCTATAACCTGTGTGCTCAGCATATGGGATGGGACAAAATCTTAGTTTATAGCAGAAAATTAGGAAAAACCATCCTAGTTGTAGGCAGATTGAAGATCATATGATCTTTATGTGATCTCTGCCCAGAGGGTGGTGAGGCACTGGAGCAGATTGCCCATAAAAGTTGTGGATACCCCATCTCTGGGAGCGTTCAAGACGAGGTTAGATGGAGCTCTGAGTAACCTGCTCTTAGAACTAGATAATCTTTAAGGTCCCTTCCAACCTGAACCATTTTCTGCTGAGATGGATGTGCCTAAGAACTCTATTTAGATCTGTTTCTCTCCTTTTTCATGAGGAGTAGCAATGTGGACCTCACATGTTGGGGCATCTGCAAAGCCACCATGACTGTCCTGGTAGCTCCTGCAG